AATGCATACTCACTTGATTTCCGTGCGGTGAGTCGAACCATGAACCACCCATTGGTCGGAAGTCGAAAGCCTCATTCAGGTGATCAGCCCTGACTCCTGACCATGTGCAGGGCAACTCAACCGTGACAGCTAAACTGTTGTGCCATGGAGACAGTTTTCTTTTGGAAAATTGGAAATTGTAAGAATTGGTAGAAAGTGTTGTAAAACGATGAGATTTGTTCGAGACAGCTAAGCAAACACAAAACCGATAAACTTGATTGGTGATGCACTGCTTACTGTGAGATAGCCACGTAATTTCTCACCTGTCAGGCCATATTAACATCGAAAGAGCGTGGAAAACGGTCAAGATTGTACTATTCATTTTGTGGCCCGGTTCACATAGTACTTTTGTTGTGAGGCACTACTCACACTTGTGGGTGTCAACACCACAATAACAAGAACAGGGGATGGGTTGATTGGGATACAGCACAGAGTGAACAAAAGGCGACAAATCATAAATTGCTCTGTGCATTATTAGCAACGTTTGTGTGTGTGCGGACTACCAGTGCAACCTTTGGGCAATTAAAAATGGTGCGAATTGTATCCTTTATAATTTCAGATTTCCCGTGGCCGTAGTCGATCGGTTCCTATTTCGTCTCCCCGGTTTGGGTTATTATCTGAAACTGGTTGGAGCAATAGAAGGTTCCATTGAAGAATGTGCTGCTCATCTTACCCCGGGATCTACAAATTTGCGTAAGCCTTATTCATTTTCATTTAATCTACCTGCTCACTGCGAAATTATTTGTGACAAGTACCGATTGATAAGATCAAGCGCTCTGCGTGATTCGTTCGTCTGAGTTATCTGTTCCAACGACTCACCATATAGCTGTCGCTAAAGGTTGTACGTACGTCATATCAGTTCAACCATTTTTACTGTGGTCTATAGACACATGGTTGATGCGCTTAGAGAGCGGGATCCAACAGGTGTCTTTATCGTCCTGCTATTGTTTGGTAGTGGTGGGACAACCGAGCGATACCTCAAAACTGAGTGCCGATCATTCCTGCCTGCAAACTCGATTGACTGATTGCTTCCATTACCTATATAGGTGTATGCCCTGTATCAATTCTCTTCTCTACGGCATATTTAATACGTGTTTGTATTTTTATTTTCTTTCTATCTATCTATTGTTGTATCGTTTGGTTGAGTTTACTGACTAATCCAAAGTTGTCATGTTGGGATTTGCAAAAACCTTTTTGGTTTGCCGCTTCCGTGACTGTTGATTCTTCTGATCACGCTTTGAACCTTTCGGCTTATGAACGTCATTGGCATGTCATTCCACGCGCTGATCAAATCGCTCCCCAATCTGCTCAAACTAAGTGACACAGTGACTCAAACAGTCCCACATTCTCAATGCGGTTTCGGTCTGATGAGTGTTCTGGCTATACCAGTATTTGTATCTGGACGTTCGTTTTTAATTCACGAAAAGGGGTTTGGCTCAACGCACAGCGACCTGATCGTCTTGTGGGGAACAGTTTTCTCTCTCTCTGTGGATGGCGGATCTGATTGGTAACATACCATTCCGCAGAATGCACCCTGGGTCTTCAGCGTTGACGTTTCGTTGCAAGCGGATAAGGTTGCTTTTTTGTGTTCACGCGTGCTGCACTGCACGCGAAAACATTTTCGAGCAGTGGAGTGTGCTTCGTCTGTTACGGTGGTTTGAACAGAAGGAATGATTCGTCTCCCGAAACATGGTAGTTCTATGGTTTTCGGCAGTATACAGATAACTGCATTTTCTCGTTTGGCTTCGTGCGAGATTCGATTCTATCTCAGATCATGTTTGCCTGCTGCGTTTGTGGGGGTTTAAAAAGCAAAGTGCTTTCTTGTCCACAGACAGACTGGCGAACGTTTTGTTTGCGTGGAATGTGATGCTCTTCTTGTTCATAAATCGATTGAATAAGAGTCGGTGAACTGATTGCACCAAAAGGCGTATGTATCATCAAGAAATATTCTTATACGATTATTGACACAGCACTCTGTGCTGCGGTTGGGCGGGTGGGGGCATTTTGATTAGACATAGATGTGCTCTGTGCACTCACAGTATTTCTTTTACACCGTCTCAGATGGACCGGGCGACCGAGCAGTACAATAGCCCGCAACGAATGCAACCATGAACGGTCTTGCTCTTACAATTATGTACCCTGATGCTTTTTCATCCTGCAAAAAACATTCTACACCGTACACACCCTCTTGTTCTCCCAGTCTCCCTCCAGCTCATCTCTACCCCAACCCTCAACACTCCTCCATCTCTCTCTCGGGTGCTTCAGACGATCGTACTAACAGTTGTACCTCGGGCCGCTAGTCGCTCTTGTCCTACCTCGACTAGCATCCACGTCTCACCGAATCCTACACCAACTGTAACTCTTCTTCGCCCTCGATGCCTCTTCAAACTAGCCACGTTTAATGTGCAAACTCTGATGCGTATAGGACAGCAGGCGTGTTTAGCACGTACGCTCGAAACCCTAGCCATCGATGTGTATTACATCCAAGAAACTCGCATTCAAGACTCCACCTCCATAATCCGATTGACGTCTTCATCTAACCAGTCTGTGAAGTTTCACTTACGTCTCTCTGGGGGCCCTGAGGCTGCGGCTTCCGGTCTTGTTGGCGTCAGCGTAGCTCTCAGTGAAAGAGCAGAGGCCGCCCTCCTGGAGTGGATCCCAGTCGACAGTAGGTTGTGCGCAGTGAGACTCAGAGGTTCGTGCAAGGTAAGCAGCCGTCGCCACGATAAACGGAACTTGTTTGTCGTATCGGCGTACGCTCCAAAAGACTGCAGCCCAGATGCAGTCAA